ACTAAGCAAGCCTTTGCTAGCTAGTATATAGCTACTACTAGCCGCTAACTAGCTACCCGCTAGCACACTTTTATTAAATGCTACTTTACTACTACTACTAGCTACTATAACTACCTTACTACCGCTAGCTATAGCACTAAGAATAGTCTTAGCGCTTAGCTAAGATTAGCAACTTAGCGTAAGACCGTCGCTTGCTAGGCGCCGCTAAAGGTAGCGGCTAAAGAAAGACTACTACCTAGTTAATCTAAGCTAGCTTAATTAAGGCTACTATAGTTTGTAGAATTCGCTTAGGCGGCCCTTTTACTCTTATAGTATAGTAAAGCGTGCCGCTACAGCTAGCTTAGACAGCCGCAGCGCGCTAGGCTAGGCTAAGTATAATAGAACAAGGATTAGCCTAGGTAATAAGTTAGCAATAACTTAACAATAAGGATTAAAGGACTTGCTATTGCTTTAAGGGTAGTAGCAACTTAGGTCTACGCCTATAATAGTATGCCTACGTCTAAGAATGTTAGCAGCAAAAGCTAGGCTACCTTTGCTAACTACTACGCAAGCGTTAAGGCAAGCTCTAGCTCTTGCTAGTACTAGTAAAGGATACTAAGGCATAATGCAGCCTATTATGCTATCTTAAAACGTTTGCGCTAAAAGCGCTAGTTAGTTGCTAAAAGCTTTAACTTGTCTTCTTATAAGGCGCGGCTAAGTTCCTTAGTTACTACTATTAAGGCTATTAACCTTTAGGCGATTACTATATAATCGCTTAGCACTATAACAATATTATTAACTATTATCCGCTAAAGTAGCAACTTATTTATACTAGCTAAAACTTCTTAAATATATTAAGCTAAGCCCTTAATCTTTTTAAGAAGCTATTAATTAGCAATTAGCTACTAGCGTATATAAGTTAACGTACTTACTAGTAAGCATAACGTATTATTAGCTATATAACTAACGTAGCACGCTAGGTTCTTTAGCATAGCTATATATAAAAATTTATAGTAAATGTCTAGATAAGCCTTAAGAATATAGTTTAAACATAAAGCCTACTATAGAGTTAGCTATTACTTAGTAAACGCTATACTAGCAAAGACCTACGCTTTTAAGAGATAGTATATATACCTAGAAAGAGCGTTTTATAAGGTTTGCATTTATAAAAAAGTCTATTAAGACTTAAAAGCAGTTTTAGTTAAATATTGTCTATAGGCAATTGTTAGCTAGCCGCTATACAAAGTTACAAACTATTACATTAACCTACTATGCAAGTAGAATTAAAGAAAAAAGGGCTAAAGAGGCAAGAGTAGTTTTATAAGTGCAGACAAATTCGTCTTAAATTATAGAATACACCTGCTTTTTTATACCTTAAGGTAATAAAGAAGCCGCGTTATTAAACGTCTAAATGCATCTTAAAAACTTACTTAACCTTACTTTAATAGTAAGGTAAGAAACGTTTAAAATTAAATAAAAGAACGTCTTAGTAGTAGACCGCCTTTACTATCTAGTAGGCAATAGTTCTATAATCGGCGGGTAATAAACAGCCGCTATTGCCTTTATCTTGCCCTGCTAGTAGTTAGAAGTTGCAAGCCTTGCGCCGCCGTTTTCGGTTAGCGTATACTGCACTCCTATACACCTAGTGTCTAAGGCTAGCCCCCTTACAACACCTATCGGCGGCAACCTAAGCGTTCCCTAACTAGGATCCAAGCTGCACGCCTCCTAGAGAGCTCTAACGAACAGGACAACCCGTGCATTAGGCAGGATCCGGCGTTTACTGCCGCCATAGACCAAGCAGTACGTGTACGCTTCCACGTTACCCGAATGCAGTCGCACAAGCAAGCGGTCCGCGACCGCTCGGCGACAGCTAATAACCCGGAGCGCTTAACTCTTTTTCCTAACTCTACAAGGGGAGGTTTTTTAACGAACAAGTAGCTGCCGCGTGTGCACCTTTAGGCTAACGGGGGCGTTACCTAAGGAGGGGGGGGATAGTGTAAGGGTATTCTACACACGCGTCCCTACGCACCGGTTCGGCAACCAGTCGCTTACTAAGCGACGGACTTAACAAACTATCTTAACACGTTGCACAGGACTAGCACAGCCACTTAGCTGTGCCACGCCCCACTAGGTTTGCGCTACACTGCATCTTCTAGCCACGTATATATTAGCTGGCAGGCCTTCGCCTACTAGTCTCCTATAGTTCATTAAGTTGAAGTCTTAATACAATAGTACAAACCGGTTAAGCCTTTGTGACCACGCATTGCATACCACCCCCTTTACAACTTTATAAGTATACTATATATCTTTATAACTAATTAATTCTTTAAATGCGTATTTACTTATCTCTTTTATTTAAAAAGAGAGAAGAAAAAAGGGTTTTTATATATATAAAGTGTATAAGTAGTAATAGAAGGCATAAATTGTTCTATATCTAATTAGTTAGGAAAAGTAAGGTAGGTTATATAACAATATAGCATCCCGCAAGAGTCTTAATTTATTACTCTATACGGCCAGAATAGGTGTTTTTAAGGTATATTTTTCTTTATTACTTACTATTAAAGCACTTTTATTTAAAATATAATGTAACTTATCTTTTTAAAGGCGTAAATAGTATTAATAAGTAAAACTTCTTAAATTAGTTACTACTATACGCTAATTAGCATATAAAAGAAGCATTATTCTAAGCGCATTTTAAAAAGCTAGTATTATACTATTAAATTGTTAAGTTATACTTTAAAAGTTTAGTAAAAAACTATTAACCCTTCTTTAAATAAGTCGCTCTACTTTACTATCTTTACTATTTAAGACACCTACAATTTTACGCTAAATATATAAAATAAGCAACAAAGTAAAAATTAACCTTTAAAATAATAGTAGTACTAAAAATATACTTAACAACGTTGCCCTTTTAAAGCAGGCAGCTATAAAGCAACAAACTTTATTAAGTCGGCTTAAACTTAACTTATAACAATACTGCGCCCGCAAGGTAGTGCGGTTAAGGCGTCACCTAGCAAAGAACCAACGCCTACAAAACAAAGGGGTGCTTACTATTAAAGACGTACGCGAAATGCAGTTAAATTTAGCTATAGACGCAAAAGAAAAGGCAAAGAAGGCTCTTATAAGGGCACAAAACAAAACGATTAAAGAAGAACAACAAAGGATCAAGGCAGCCCAAAATGTAGCACGCTGGGAAGCCCGGAACCAAGGCAACACAGATAGCTAGTTGGTTTTATTATAACTTTAGTAGCGGTGGCGCATTGGCTGATTTCGTTGAAAGACCTGATTTTGTGGTAATACTGAGCTTTTGGCTGGTAAGTGCATTTGGCTAGTCAGCACCTATTTTAATAATAGGTGCACTTTTTAAGTGGGTCATGAATTATAGTGGGGCGTGGCACGATTAGGCACACGGTCGAATATAGTAGACACACAGGCACACGTGACTTAATTCGCGGTTAACTACGGCAGAATACTGAAATCGTCCCCGTGTAAAAAGCAGCACATCTGTTACTAACCGGGAACCTGCTCTAAATAATCGATACAGCTTGTCGTTTTACATCACACACTGCAGATATGATTCTGGCTTAGACAATGCGGTGAGAAGTAGTTGACTATAGAAATGACTCCATCGACCAGCCATTTGAACGGAAGGCATGAGCAGCGCTTGCGGACTATGATAGTATTTTGCAAAGTATGCTTACGACACATGCAACATATACGAAGTATAAGCTAAGTTATGGCAGAGTACTTACGCCTCGGATTACTTTGGACTTTTAATACTCTTAACTATATACATTGTGGTCAGTGTATTTTCTTCAAGCCTTGCTATCTTTACCTATGTCCAACCTAATGTCGTCCTAGGCTGAATTTTGGGTTGATCCTTTCCACCGCATGTTCTTTATTGACGACATCAACATATCTTTTCCCCATGCTGAGATAGAAAGAGTACCGGCTTGTAAGTGACCCTTAATACACATTAAGGGGTTGCAATACCTAATGCACATCTACTGATGTGGTCTGAAATAGTGATGAACTTTGTCTATGCTCTTTTCATTCCTCTCCTCACCATCGCTCTCTATAACACTCTCACTGGCGCCAGCCTACACAAGCATCATGTCGCAATACTCGGAATCGGCATAGCATTACTCCTTGCATCTGCCTTGACGGACATCGTGAAGAACATGGTTGGCCGTCCACGGCCAGACCTGCTTGCCCGGTGCAAACCTGCCTTGGATACACCTCTGGGCACGTTAGTCTCCCATACCATCTGTACTGAGACAGACCGTCACAAGCTTCAAGATGGTTGGCGTTCCTTCCCCAGCGGACACTCTAGCTTCGCTTTTGCAGGCCTTGGCTATCTCAGTTTATTTCTGAGCGGCCAATTAAAAGTGTTTGTTTTGAGAAATAGCGATAGCACCATGCCAACCACAACGGGGGAGAGGCTAGATGGGAACAAATGGACATTTCATGTGAGGGGCGACCTTGGACGAGCGTTGATATGTCTCATGCCTACACTTGGAGCTACGGTGATAGCTATTTCACGTTGCCAGGACTACAGGCACGATGTGTACGATGTCTGCGTTGGCTCATTTATAGGCTGGAGCATCGCTTACTGGAGTTACCGAAGATACTGGCCACGACTAGACACCTATCATTGTGACAAGCCATGCACTGCGCCAGAGTGTTCTAGTGCAGAACTTGGTGGCTACAGGCATGTTCGGGACGAAGAAGAGGGTAATCGCAATTTAGGGGCTTCCTCCAGATCCTGAGAATATAAAGCTATTCTCCGGTTGTCTGACCAACCACAATCTCTGCCACAGAGCTTTAGGTTGTTTTAGGCTGTTGTTCATCACAAGAGTAGTGGATACTGATCAAAATAGTATCTCATGGTCAAGTTAGTCCGCGAATTGAAAGCATACAATGCTTGAGACAGCTCGATTTCTCCGGCAGCTATTAATACATCGGCAAAGGACTAGAACCCGGTGCCACCATCCAGCTGGGACCAACGTCAAGCCCGTATTTTACTTCTCATCTGCACTTTCATCCTTGGCAAGATCATGTTCTTTAAGCAGAGACGTGATATCATCTGCACTCCATAACCTGTGGTATATCTTGCCTTCCTTTGTCTGCCCTACTGTAGCAAATTCGACTTTCGAAAAACATATTAGCAGATCGAAGGAAAGATCATGGTCGACCATGTGGGGGGTTAAGAACATACTCTTCTCGCTGCTCAATTTTGTAGAGTCCATTGTTTTGCTCAAAACCTTAACAGCCATGCCGCAGGCTTCCTTCAATGTGCAGTCTTCTTTGTAGTCCTGCTTTAGCAAACTCTGGGCGCTTGCATTATTCGCCCCGGCACTGGTAGCCTTCCATCCGCCATAGTTACCAGAGGGGTTGGAAAGGTATAGCTGGAACTGCCGTTGCGGATCCCATCCAGCATAGATGAAAGATACCCCGAAAGGACGCAGGCCACCATGCTGGGTGTATCCCTGCTTCAAATCACACAGTCTTCGCACCAACTGCTCGCAGGGTATATCGGTATTATAGGTAAGGAGGTATCGTTGCGCAGCCTGTCGGGCATAGTTGATCAATATGTTGGCATCTGCAGTCATGCCTGCGACGGCGCAGATCATGTTACTGAAAAATCATTAGCCTAAGTCAGCTATACTCTGTATTGGGGGCTGTAACTTGCTCGTTCAGTATGTAAAGTTTCTCCGCAGAAGTGTCCTGCTCTAATAGCTTTGACGTGACCTTGCGCTCCGCAGCAAGAACAATGCCGTCTTTAGCTAGAATGCCAATAGCTGTTCCAGCATGCGAAATGGCCTCGAGCGCATACTCGACCTGATACAACCGGCCCTCTGGGGAGAAAATTGTGGTCTGGAAAGATATCAGTTCATGTGTATTTGTTATATCTTTCGTGTGCAATCTAGAGTGTGATATTTTTAAGTTCCATACGAAACAAAACATACGCGGGAATCGTATCGTCTCGACATGATGCAAGTTAGCAATCAGTTGGAAAACCGAGTCCTTATATATGAGCCGGTGATTGTGGTTGTAGGAATCTGAGTTACTGCTCCTGAAAGGGAGTTTAGGGCTGGTAGTGCATGGAAACCAGAGCTATCAGCTTGAAGCTCCAGGCAAGCGGTAGGACGCGTATGAACGTCGAAATGTTCACCTGAATTATAAGGCATAAACTGCTGTTACATAAGCGTTATCTCATTTGCCTCCACCCCCGAACTTTGCGTCGCACCGCCAACCTTTCGCAAACATTACCGGGTATATTCACACTATTTCCAAGCACGCTGCTGCCTTCTGCGTTGTCGGGTGTCAAACTTTTCTTGTTGCAAGGGACTTCTTGGACATTTCTACGGACCAGACGGGAACTACAGTGAGCTTTACGAAGCGGTGGCTTCGAGAGTTGACTTCACCCTCGTTGTTGTCTAGACTGCCTTAAAATATATTGTAGCTCCATCAAGGGTTTCTTCCGCCAGGAGGAGTGCCAATCGTTCGGTTGGTTCTTTGATTAGGACCAGGCGCCCTTTGAAAACAAGAGCAGTGGCGTTCGAGATGGCCGGTGAGTACGATAGCTCCTAGTGCATGGCTCATGCCAAATCCAGCTATACATGTTGTCATCGCTATTAACACATGATCGTAGCAGATCCGGAGCCACGTCGCTCTGTTCGAAGCACAAAAGGCCAACACAAAGCGCTAGAGCAACTCGGCCAACCAGTCGAAGCCAAGAGAAGAGGGAGGAAGGCAGGAAAAAAGTCGGATGATAAGCAGGATGAATCTGAGGAAGAGGTTATTCGCTGCGTTTGTGGCGCCACTGAGCAGGACGGTGACCCTGGCGAGCCATGGATTGCGTGCGACAGGTGCGGCGCTTGGCAACACAATGTCTGCATGGGCATGAGCGTTTACAGCGAAGACCTTGCGAAGGATTATTTCTGCGAGCAGTGCAAACCCGACAACCACAAAGAGCTTTTGAATGGTATGGAACACAACGAAAGGCCTTGGGAGGAACGGCGTAAGCTTTACGAAGAAGAAAAGGCATCCGGGAAAAAGAAGAGGGGTGGGCGAAAGGCGAAGCCCAAGCGAAACAGTGACATCCGGGAAGACTCTGCCAAAGCGTCCCCGCCGCCTGAGCTGAAGAAAGACCAGAAACTAGCCGCAGGAATCAAGCGAAAGTCAAGATCAGGTTCCGAAGATCAGGAGGTGAAGGTAACTTAAACTTACCCCAGAAATGCTAACACCCTGTTGACATCGTGGCTGAAATGTGGTATAGGAGACTCAAAAGCGAAAATTGGCCGAGAAAAATAACTACCCAATTTATATTCCACCCGACGACCTACCGGAAAATATTACGGGCCTTCTCGATGCACGTCAGCCTCCTGCTCGCGGTCTCTTCCGAGCCATGTATGAAGTTCTTGGTGGGCTTCATAAGAAAGGCGAAATTACTTTGGTGGACGATGAGACAGTTGAGTTGGTAGCAGAACGATTCGCCATCCAGATTGAAAGGGCTGTGCACGATGAACATCCCAGCCACAAAGATTACGGCGCGCAAATACGAACGCTTCGCTTTAATCTGAAGGAAAATCCCGATTTAAGCACTCGACTGTTGGCGTCGACGCTGACACCCCCGATGCTAGCAGTCATGACAAGCGACGACCTAGCGTCCAGTGAGCTGCAACGGAAGACTGCAAAAATGAAAGCCCAAGCTGAAAGACAGAGCATTCTGGGAACGGAAGACAACGCTCCTCGTCTCAGACGCACGCACAAGGGGGAGGAGCTGGTTGAGAAGGACAATACTAGTCTGATCAGCGAGGACAAACCGCCCTCGTTGCGGCGACAGAGTAATCGAGAGGCTTTGATTGCAAAACCTCAAGTCCACGAGCAACACAAGAACGCCGTTGAACCCCAGGTACATTCTGGACAAAGGCAAGCATCGATAAAGGGAAGTTTGCACATCGAAACACAGAACGATTCTGCTCGAGGAGGCTTCGATATAAAAAAGGTATTCTCGAGTGTTCGGTCCCCGATTACGCCGCACGCACAGCGGTCGTCATACTCGCAACCACCTACTGGCAGCACCGGACCTGGGGCAGATCCCGAGGTCGACCGGCTTTTACAGGACGATGGGGATGAGTCGCCACCATATTCTCCGTCGGATGATACAGACCCTGATATCGTTTGGAAAGGGAGTGTTGCCATGAACATGGTAGCAAACTTTCAAGCAACCGCCCGGCATATCGGAGGAGTCAACCTCACCACAACTATCGGTCTACCATGGAGCACGCTTATTCCCAAAGCCCTCACCGTAGCTGGGCGCATTGACGAACAGATTGCGACAGAATACTTGTGTAGCTTACGATACAGCGCACCTACTGATGTTACTGTGGCCAGCTTATCCCCGGCCACCGATGCAGCAACATCTGGATTTCTTTCATTGGTTGATTACTTCACTGCAAGGAAGAGATACGGGGTTGTTGGAGAGAAGGGTGTCGGCAACGTCCGCGACACCTATCTTGTTCCCGTACCAGCCGGAACAAGTAGTCATCCAGAGTTCATGCTAAATCTGGAGGATAACTTTATACCTGTCTCAAGAGCAGCCCCTATGTTGTTACTGGTTGTTGTCTATCGGAACGATGAAGCGGCCATGGAGAGGCTTCGAGGACCAAATTGGGCCCGGCAGTACGATTCGCATATCGCAGCTACGGCTACGACGGCTCTCAAAATTGCCAGCGACGCCCCACGAAATCCTTCGTCTACAACCCCTTTATCGGGATCCGCGTTATGTTCCCAGCCTGCACCTGTCCAAACGGCATGTGTGCCACTTCAAGCGCCACATACAAGCTCAGGCCTACCAGCTGTGTCCCCAGTTATTGATATCCACACGGTCACGAACAAAGATGCCATCAAAGAAAGCGCACACCGGGAGGGTGAAGCTGCTGCCAAAGAGGTTCTCGGCCCGTTGTCGCTGTGCCCAACGGCTGTCTTCTTGATGTCGCAAGCTGCCAGAATGCAAAAAAACGAATGGATGATTGTCCGAGATGTATTTGAAAAACAACCACAAGCTCGAAATGATCTTCAATTTCTCAAACGCGAGCTAGAGAAGTACCAGGAGCAACACAGCGCAGCTTTACCTGCTAGGCCATCCCAAACACCGGTTCCTGTTCCGCGAATTCCTCATGCCGTTTCACCTCGTTCGAGTCAGCCACCATCAGAAGCCCATCCTACTAACTTATCTTCCGCCTGATAGCTCGCGATTTCCGTGGACTAATTGTGCCTCAGAATTGATATTTTTATTTGTACAATACTCAATTTTCCCTTAGTTTTTTATTGGTTGATCTGATGTATTGTCCCGCTATGCTGCTTGGTCGCATCTAGGCTTTCAAGTCTGCGTCTGCCTCAGTACTTGTTATGAAAATATTTTGTGCGTAATTTATATATGCACATATCTAACGAATTTTGAACTAGTGCTCTTGAAACTCAAAATGGATTGCCCTGGCACAGCTAGTTCAAGAGTCGTGAAGTATCACATCGGGCTTACTGTAAAAAGTCTCGCAGATAGCCTCTCTGTTGTGCCTATGATGACTGGTGTGCACACTGCGCAAAACAAAGCATTACATCAGCAATTGCGTTGGAAAGTAAGAGTGTTGGGTACTGAAGTTTACAGTATGGTTGGCCGAGTCACAACTACGGTGGCATGATACCTAACCAGCTTCATAGTTTTGCCAGGGCCTGATATGGATCACAGAAATGAACCGCAACTCTTCTTTCTTGTAACAAAAGGGCGTCCTACTCAAATATATCATCCATTATCTTCCATAGCTCACCCGAACGCGCATGTGATGACCTGTCTAATGCGTTATCAGCCCAATCGCTGCCGTTGAGCTTCGGCTGAGTATCAAAGCCATCGATTGAGCTGTCAAAAAATTGCACGCCAGCAAATCCAACGAGCGTTCTGCGCACGCTGTCTGTAACTTCTTGGAGAGCCCGCGTCTCGTTGCGCGTCTTTTCGAGCTGATTCTGAAGTAGGGATATCAAAGCCTCTCTGGTTTGGTGTGGCCGCCATTCATTGACCTGCTGATGCATGTTGTAAAAGATAGTTTGCAAATCTGCCAGTTTCTCGGTTGCATTATTGGGATTCGTGCTCAAGATTCCAGCCAGCTCCAAGAAATTCAGTAGTAGAGACTTTGACAGTTTCTTCAGTTCAAAAACTTTGTTGGCATGAATATCTTTCTCGGCTGATGTAGAGGGTATCATCGGGCCAAGGCGCTCAATTCCATGGTCTTCGAGTGATGGCAACCGATCACTCAACTGACTTTGGTTAGGTATCAACTGCGTGAAGCATACAGTGCAAGCTAAGCTCAACATATCGTTTTTCATATACTTACATCGTGCAGTTGTCCGAACAATCTCCATTTTCCGTCATCGGGTGGTGGTGGTGGCTTCAGATACTCCAATCCTCCGAGTATGTTTGGAGTTATCGAATGCGTTTGCCGAGAAACTTCAGATTCACTGGTATTGCGAACATTCTGTGTTCGAGTGTACTTATCATGGGTAAACTCTTTCCACAGATACGAAGGTGGGCTTGGATACGGGGCAATTGAGCTTTCTGCATCTTCTTGGTGAGCCATTGCCACGGTGAAGGTGACGTACGATCCGCGCAGTAGAACAAAACGGCTAAACGATATAGACTGCTTTGCAGATGTGGCTGCTTATTAAGAAATGTGGCTTGTACTCCATAGTGGGTCAGAAATCGATCGTATCTTATTACTCCGTACTCCGTACGTTGTACGGAGTAAATACGGAGTAATAATGCTCATCTACTGAGTGATAGCAATTTGTCCATCTCCTTCTGTCGTCTATCATCCCCTGCCATGGCCGACATTCGAGCTCTTTTTCGCGAGCAGCGCTCGGCATACCAGAAGTCTCACCCGCCCGCTGTATACTCACCCACAGGGAAACTTTTTTGCGATATTTGCCATGAACTGGTAAAAACAGAGGCGCAATGGGACGCTCATGTCCTGTCAGCTAATCACCGTCTACAATCTCGAAAGTCGAAAAGCGTAGGATCAAGCGTGGAATCCCTTAGTCAGAACCCCTCGAGTGACAACATGGTGGCCCAGCTGTATAAGAGGAAACACGGTGAGGTCGACGAGGGCACTATAAGCGAAGCCAGCTATGGCGATGAGGAAGAAGGTCTTCGGAAGAGAAGGAGCAGGTCCCAAAACCCGGGGCACATGGCGGAATCGAAATCAGATGGACGTGATCAAGATAGTACACGTCCAATGCTGAATCCTATTAGGGTCCAACCAAAAACACCGCCGATAGGACGTCGAACATCAAGAACACCAATTCAAGGCAAAGAGCTGCAGATTCCGTCTCGGCCAGCAACTCCAAATGCAACACGAGATGTGTTTCTCGTCAACAATGCCGCTACCGTCAGTAGCGAGCTCTCAACTGCTGCACTCATGCCCAAACTTGCGTCGACGACCCGCTCAGTGGCCACATCTGTAACACTCAAAACACCGAAGATAGCAGAAGGAGCTATGGAAGTCGACATAAGAGTAGCAGAAGTTGCCGAAAACTCAAAGATTGACACCAGCTCTTTCAGAGATCTAGACGAGGCAGAATGGGCAGCTTTTGAGGCCGACGTGGTCAACGCCCCGAGCTTCGCAGCCGTGGGACATCCTTCCAACGCAGAAAGTATTGTTGCCTCAAGAGAGAATGCCGATCTGCCCGAAAAAGACGGGTCACAATTCAAAATAATGGCAACGGGAGATACACAGATGAAGGAAGAGAAAGAAGAAGCGAATAGGGCTTTAGAAATCGAGTTCGAAGAGATGGTGGAGCTCGAATCTCGTGTCAAAAAACTTAGAGAGAAACGCGAGGCTCTCAGACGAAAATTCGCCCTGGGGCCTTCTATCTTGCTTGACGAAGAAAGTATTTTGCCCATTGTCAGTCCGAAAATGAGGAATTCAAAATCAAAAGCATATATGAATAGCCACGCTAGCGCTAGCGCCGACGAGGACGACGATGAGGACGATGATGATACAGACGATTGGGACGGGTTCAGATTCAGGGCCTAACTTCCATCGAAGAGGCAAACTCAATCCGAGTATAATATCGTCCTCCTATCATCACCACATATAATAGGTTCTGTACCAAAAAATAACAGCAAGGGCATATCTTGACGTGGTAGTGTCTTTGTTCGGTATGGCGCTTTCAAATTCGCCCTCGCGGTATGCAAGTCATTTCTCGCCACGCGCAATCCTTTCCCAGAACTTTCGCAGCCTCCAGACTCTTCCAACTCCGACTGTCTCTTCCCATTTCCGAATATGATCGCTTCGCCGCCCCACCTCTCTTTTCCAAACAGCCCCAATCCACTGCTTTAGGCCGTCCTTCAGCCTCTGCCGCTCGATCGCTCTTGTTAGTGCGACGAGCGACGGCGCAATGTGTCCAATTCCCGGCGCACACTCAACAGGCAGAACACACCGTCCAACCAACACCTTCACGGGTGGACGAGCTGCCAAACGTCGCGAGAGGCGGATGGAAACGAGGGACCTGGCGAGCTTGCGGGACACCACAGTCGTTTTTGTCAAAAAAATAGAGCGATCAATAAGATCAGAAAGAGACGGACGGGATAGGGAGAAAAGGGAATAAGCGAGAACGGTACGACAGCGGCGTCTTCGTAGAAGGTGTAGAATTGGGGCTATACAGAGGTAGCGAAGCTGGTGGGATGCCTATTCATATAAAAAAATTAGCTAATTAAGCGGGTGAATGCTGCATTGCTAGCTACAATGAAACTATTTCTCAAGGAATAAATAAATGTAAGCGAAAATGCGTTACGGAGTAGATCAGATACAGACTCAAAGCTACTCGGCGTACCCTCGAAGCAGAGAGCAAGTCGCTCACGTCCAAGAAGTCAAGTATGAACAGCATCACCTCGTTTGGCAAACTGCCAAAAGATATTTGTTTTAGTGATGCCGGTTTAGCCCGACTTAAGGACTTGCATATCGTAAGTGGGGTTCGGGGAGTATCTGATCGAGATGGTTTAAAACTGGCAAAACCATCGTAGGGAGCTGTGGAGGGAAGGTGCGTCAGCTCCATCGACCGAATCAGCCACGTAGCACTCGGGGTGGCCTCTGTAGGGAGTGAGAGTAGCCAGTTTGCGGTAGGATAATTTTGTCCGGGAGACGTTGCCTCTATAAATCGAGTAAGGGCAATGATGGCTGCAATATGCTTGGAGCGCTCTATGTTAAATGGCTAGGTTGAAGCATGGGATGCTCCGGATTGGTGGGAAGGGTTCTCTCGTACGTTAGTAAAAATCACACATTCTAGTGCGCGTCACTAGACAAGAGATACGATATTAAGAAACACTGTATGTACTCCGTACGTGGTGCTCCATAGAGATGAATATGTGTCTTATCTTACGAAGGACGGCTCACATGCATAGGTACATATGTATGTATGGCATCATTCGGTGATTAGTGTGGGGCACCGGTTTCGTTCTAGTGGGTCGTTAACGGGCAGGTAGCTACGTCGTAGGCCTGGTAGAACACGAAAACAAAACGAAACAGCCCGTATTGTACTCCGTACTCCGTACTTTGATTAATAACAAAATCCCTTCCTACTTCCCAATATTTCCTACGTTCAAAGCTGTTGGTTTGCTCGTTACCGAAAGAAGTGGCTTTAACAACAGTTGGGCGTTGTGCTGGCGATGTGTTGGCGATATGGAGGTTGGCCGCTTGACGTGGCCACCTTTACATTTCGAACCGCCACCTTCAAGTCGCAAAGCCCGAGGCATATATATCTGCGATCTAGAAGTCTACAATTATTCTTTCTAATCCCATATGTACTCTCACACCGAGGTAAGCAAGCGTCCAATTATCAATGTGTGTAACCCATGACATCGGAGGCACGGATTCGCAAATTGAGGAATGCGGGGTTGCCAGACGGTTTGTTGTCTCACTGCTGTGATGCGGGGAGTGAGGTAGAATACAGCACGTAAGATACATGATCACACGCACCGCTTTCCTCCTTAAAAGTACCAGGCAAAGAGCAGGGTTTCCGGCTACGTAAAGTTGCTGGAGGGCTTTTCGACGAACAGCAGCTACAGGGAGGTTTCATAATTCAGAGTAGCATAATCGTATTCACACACATATTCTGAAAATGCCCAGCCTTGCAAGCGCATTTCAAGCGACAGAGTTGAGAGAATGAGGAGCAATAATATTTACTGCTCAAGTGGTCCAGTTACAACCCAGGAAGTTAATATTGCCCATTACATTACTCCGTGAGTGCCAATTTCATGTATTTTGCTGCAGCTGTAATTTCAGGTCTCTTGGACCTGCCTAGCCAGCCTCGTCTAGCAACCACGACCATCATCTTCATTGGACAATGCTAGCCCGTGGCCTTATTGTGCCCCCCACTCCCCCTAAATGTTATCTGTTTAATCGGCCCCAGCAAATCTAGTAAAGCACGACAAAGAACATGCGAGCACTGAAGTGTGTCCCGGCTCCTTAACATACATTTTTATCTGAGTAGCCTTCTTTTTTCTTCCATAAAATAGGACTCGGTTTATTCCGGGCTTCCAGGGGTCGGTGGCCGTAAGCGCTGATATAGCAAAACAAAAAGGCTCAATTTATTGCACGTTTCGGGAAACGGCACGGCCCGTTTTGGAGACCCGGTCCCCATTTCAGGCGTCCTAATTCAAAGGACAGTAATAACACAATAAGAAAAATTATCTGTCGCGTTGGCTTTCCTGTCATAGTCACATAGTATTGAATGCTGCCCAACCAAATCAGCAAGAACACAAACAATGAAAGACATCGAAAAGAGGGGCCCGTACGGAGCACCGTGGTCCTTTGAAAGTGGCCGTGTCCCACATCCCCCTTGCTTAGCTGAACGCATATAGTTTCCGTACTCTTTTTTTTTTTTTTGCCGTCAGGGGAGCAGACAAAGGTTTGGTTCGCTTAGTTTGCAACTCACATCAGCAGTATTCCTTCCACCACACATTTTCGTAGCTCTATCTGCATAATAGCAATGTTCAAGAATGTTATGCACACAACCTATAAACCTACAATAACAAGTTAGGAACAACAATGATCTGAAAGAAATAAGTCAAGGTAAGATGAAAGCAAGGCGTGCCTCGCTTAGATGCAAATTTAGGACAACCCTTGTAAGAGCTACCCAATATTCGATTATTTTGGAAGCTGCTTTGCTGGCACTCTCGGGAGCTTGGAACCGCCTCTGATCGGCAATTAAAAAAGCCCCTGTCTTTCAGTCAACGATAGCGGTTCTAGGAGTATGCTCCCACCATAGATGAGGTGAGATATCATATGTGTTGGCAAGTGTTTAAAAGTACGTCACTGGTATGCAACCAGAAGGCGGGCTGCTCTTGTTGATGTTAATTAACGCCGAGTACATTTGCTCATGATTAGCTATAACCAAAGCTATACCTAAATTGACTTACTTGCAAACAGAGTATATCATGCACATGCTTTGCCTCTGAATACATACTCCGTTGCATTATGTATGTTTGTCTTTAAATACGTACGAGCAGGTTTGATAATATCTTTTAGGTACCTAGACGTATTGCCTGTCGATACTCCACTCACACTGACGGGCAAATTGGTGCACGCAAGCCAGCACATAATTATTCCGTAAACGTAGAAAGCCCGATAAATACAGTGTAGTAGATTGTCACAACCACCCCCCCCTTTTCCCCCAAAATCCGTTTAGTCAGCTTTGGCGACGTGCAAGCAGAATGAAAATGAAAAATAAAACTTGATCTTGAACGGGCATGGCATCAATCTCGACTTCTTATCGTCCCGTCCTTATGCTGTGGCGTACTTCGCAACAGCTGCAGTTGTGCTAAAAAAAAGATCCCAGGACGCAATTCTCAGAACAACTCATCGCGTGCAGCCATCAGTTTTGTCCAACTAGGATCAAACAACGCGGGCTTATACTATAATATCTTCGCCGCAGAGGGGCTACTGGTGTGATGCCACGTTTTTCACTGTTGCTGGCGGTAGCGTTAACAACGATAGATAAATTGCATTTTATTAGACATCTGAGCTCGCCCGCGGTCTGACCCTTTGTTGCATCTTTGACCAATTTTGACCCATAATCATCTTTCTCCATGCTATAGTCAGCCGGCTGACCGAATACACGTGTGGGGATTATTCTTAAACTCACCCGGTGTGGATATACATCTACAATACATTGTGGGTTGCTTTACTCCGTACAAACGTGTCTTTATACCCGCCCATATAGATACGGAGTATAATCACCCATATCGTGTGAAGTCGTGCAATACGAGTGAGTGTACGGAGTACAGTGCCCCGTTCAAATCTTCCTCTAGACTTATTGTTGGTGGTGGTAATCACAGCTATGCTAACCAAATCTCATATCCATATTCTAATGACTTTTCATTCCCGTTTTTCTTGCGATTTCTCTGATGCTTTTGAGTTCTTGTTACTGTAGGGTAGCAAATACAATGGTCAGTTTCAAAAAGTGTAGTAGACGCTTATGTGCTGAGATTGATGACGCCGTGTAAAGAAATTTCAGCTTCGAGGTGTAAATATATCACCTAATACGTAGCCAACTATTATGCAATAATGAGAAGTCAAATCATGCGTTCACACCTTAGAAAGAGGGAAAGCATCGGCGTTGGACCCTATTGACTGGCGATATCCACCTCTATACATTCTTAATCTTTGCAAATCCGTTCGCTCATAATGCACGCATAATGTACGTATAGTCATGTGAACAAGCTGAAAGCCTACCGCTGTCCGGTCTCCAGTGACGGGGGATTTTACCACGTAGGCACGCGAGGGATGGTAGGCTGATGCATGCACCGCTCGCGCGCTTGCGCGTGGGTAAACGCCAATTTCTGTACAGCAAATCGATATGAAAATGGGAGTATGGGAAGAGTAGGTTTCATGTAGGCTAGAACTTGAGATATTTCTAGAACTAGCATTAATCGAATGGGACCCGGCTTCTCTCAATGCAGGTGGTCTGAAAACCAAAGCAGCAAAGTGGTTGTGAAATTAAAATATATTCTTTTGCAAACTAGGAATTTAAGTAA